GTCACTCATCAGGCCCGTGCTGGTATATGGCGCAGAAGCATGGACAATGGCAAGATCCGATGACGCAGCTCTTGGTGTATTCGAGAGAAAGGTTTTGCGGAAGATTTACGGGCCTTTACGCGTTGACGATGGCGAGTACCGCAGACGATGGAACGATGAGCTTTACAGCGACTATCCATGTCGTAGTGTAGCGGATTAAAATACAGCGGAACTCGCTGGTGGTAGCAGAGGAAGAGGGAGGCTCTCACCCCGATGGAAAGACCAGGCGGAGAAGGACCTGGCTTTACTTGGCGTTTCCAATTGGCACAGAAAGCAAACGACTGGCGTGTTTTGTTGAACTCGGCCAAAATAGCTTAGGCGGTTACAGCGCCAAATAAGAAGAAGAAGACAATTCACATCATTGCCGGACTTTAAGTTAAAAAATATAACATACTCTTGGCAAACCATTACTTTCAGAATCTACAGAGATCTCATACTAAATAGCAACAAAGAGCACGGGCAAAGTTCATAGCAAAAACAAAGAATTTTATACCGAAGTTAGCTTTTTTTTAACATCGAATGAGGAGGTATAGTTACTCTCGAGCCATTTTAACCCAACCTAAACTAAGTGACATATATATAAATATATATAAATATAGACATATAAGGGATGTTTGTATGTATATCCTCACCTTTTTGGCCTCTATAGCGCAAATGTGTACGATTCGTGCCATAGTTGCGCGTAATTCTAAAGCTCGGTGGAAACTTTGCCAGGTCCACAGTCTCGGTGCCTATGGAGCCGAGCGTGCTATTGTAGTTAGCCTTACGCAATGAGGGTATAGGACTCATGCGTACATCCTGCAATTCGATGATATCATCGGCTGTTGAACACGTTTCGGATTTGTCGCCTTTTCCTATCCAAAAAAAAAATAGAAAATGTTGTAGTTTTTTTTTTTTATAAATGTGTTGCATTTATTCACACGGCTATTTACCTGTTTTTCTGCCATCACCATCTTTGGACTTTTTCACTTTCTTCTTGGCACGTTTGCCCCAGTATGTGTAATTGACAGCTGCATATTCGAGTAAGGCAGCAAAGACGAACACGAAACACATCACTAAGTAAATGTCAATGGCTTTGACATAAGATATCCTTGGCAAGGAACTACGCACTCCGGTGCTAATTGTGGTCATAGTGAGCACGGTGGTTATGCCTATACATTTAATCAGGTTGAAGCGGGTATGAGCACTTGAACCGAATATTATTTGCTTTTTCACAAATAGATAGATACTCACCTAATGCGACGCGCGCACTTGTTGCCTCATGGTTGATCCAGAAGGACACCCACGAAAGCATCACAATCAATATGCTTGGCAGATATGTTTGAAATACAAAATAACCAATATTCCGTTGCAATTTAAACGAAAGGGATAGGCGCTGGTAAATGCCCGTTGCCAAACGCTCTTTACGATCGTTCGTTCCATAGCCGATTATTGTGAACTGTGGCAGTTCGGCGTCCATGACACCACGTACGGGTGTGGGTTTCCAATACATGACCACATCGCTGACGGTGTAGCCATCTGTAACAGTTACAAAAGAGAAAAACAAAGGCGGGACAAACAAAAAAACAACAAAAGCAACAAACAAAATTTTCTATCTAAAAATCTACGAATATCACCACTACTTTGTAACATCTATTTACTTACAACTCTCAATTTCCACTGTACAATTTTGCGAATCCAACGGATAATAATGCAAATCCATCATGCAGGCGAGTGTTGTTGTAAAGCGCATGCCATAGGTGACAGCGCCATCGCCACCTAAACGCACTAATTTATTGCGTTCGGTGACGTCGTGTAAGAAACTGTCAAAGAATGCAAGAAATGGGAGAAGTTGTTAAATTTTATTGTCCGATAAGTGAAAGCATTTGAAAGTACGCACCTATTTTTATCGTTCGCAAAAAATGTGTCTGGCACCCAAATTTTTTCTGCGAAATCTCCCGAGAGCGTCAACACATCATTAACGCCATCATCGTCCGCATCGTCATCATAGTATGGTCCGTATGCATTGAAGGCGAGCCGCTCATCGCGCCAATACTGATTCAGATACATGGTAATGGTATAGTCCTATAAAAGGAAGAGTGAAATGTGAGCTTCGTAAGGGCTTTTACTAAATACTTGTATAAATATTGATCAGTAGATGTGATATTAAAGCAGTGATCACAAGATTTTTACCTTTATAAAAATTTGTATATTTTGACAGTCACAGAGGGAACACATCTACATATATATATACATAGAACACCGTGCGACAAAAACAAAAAAATTTCAAAACACACGAAAGAATCGATATACTCACGAAACTATGGGCCAAATATAGTAAAACTGCGTTTTTAGTTTTTAACTTTGACGTCAGGATTTTTTTTCAAAGGTCTTTGAATTTTTAAAGCTGTGATTAATTCAAAAAATTATTTAAAAAGTTCAGTGCAATGAAGAATTTCACTGATTTTTTTTCAAAGGTCTTTGAAATTTTAAAGATATGACTGATTCAAAACATTATTTGAAAAATTCAGTGCCGTGTAGAATAACAGTATGAGATACTACAAAATTCTGTAGAATTTAAAAACAATAAAGTTTTTTGGTTTACAAGGACGAATAGGTACTGGAAAAGCGCTTTTAATAAATTTTATCTTTTTAAGTTAATAAAGTTTGCAAGACGAAATTCGGTGATGAGGTCGTCAGTATACTAGTCCTACAACAATAATGAAAAAAAAAATATATTGCAAATTTTTAAGGATATTTTTAAGCACAGAATTTGTGAAAGACATTTTCCATCCCCGTTCATCCTTATGCACCAACAAATTTATTCTGCTGAAATTCAACAGAATTTTTCCTTTATTTTATTTATTATTTTTTGAAATAATCATAATTTTTTTAATTTCAAAGTCCTTTAAAAAACATCCTGACATCGGAGAGAAAAACTATGTACGCATGTTTTACTATAATTTACCCATAGTTTCGCGAATATGTCGCACGGTCTAATAAAATTTTAACAGGCCGATGTATACATTATAGATATTAAAGAAAAATTAATATGGGCGATCTTTATTAGAGCAAAAGAAGCCAGATCAACAATTTTTAGAATCTTCGTCTGCCTATGCGCATATTTGTACGCGCACCACTCGAAATCTGATGCATAGAATTGAATTCTGTTTTCACCGATGTATTTCTAGAGGTCTAGAGAAAGAAGAAAAAGAGAGACTTGCCATCTGTTTGAAAATTTATGTTTAACCCCAAACGTTTATTCTTCGTCGAATGGACGAGTCGACAACGTACATATGTTGTTCACGAGTACAAAAAGAATAATGTACTTCCAGGGTTAAGTAAATTGATAAGATAAAGTAAATATTCCAATATGGCCAGTAAAAGAAAGAGGTTTAAGAAGACTTAAAGCCGAAAATAATTTTGTGGAAGATTGCCACCTGTTTGAAAAATTCACTAAAACACTAAATTTCACAGTTACACATTAAAAGCAGTAAATTCTTGAGATTGCTCACAAGTCTTTGAGGCAACGGTATCCCTTATAGCTAAAACCGGATAGATATTAGACCAAAACTAAGGCCTTAGGTTATACACATTGATTTTACTTTGTGTTAGAGCGCATAATGGCTATTATGACTGGTTAAATACCCTGAGCGCAACTTTACATAAAATTTTGGTCATATTTCAGTTGCCAAGAATGCCCAGGGATCTATACAACAGTCCAGAGATATTTGGATTACAGCAGGCTGATGGTCATTCTGCCATTCTGATCTAGCAATCAGTTTTCTAACAATTAAATTAATAAAGAAATACATAGTAATTTCTTTTTAAAACATTGGGAACTAATGGCTTTATTCCTAAAAAATGAAATAGGTTTAAAGAGGTTTACAAAGTGACATTTTCATGCAAATTTTCGATTTATAAAGCAGTCAAAGTCTTTTTTATGAACTTGGGTGTAAGAATTAAAAGAAAATTAAATTAAAAAATAAATATTAAATTAAAAAAGAAACAGTAAAGAAATGTTAAATTAAATGGGCTTCTAAAAATTAAATGAAATTTAAGAATATGTTTCTTTTTAAAATAACACAATTTGTAAATAAAATAAAATAAAATAAAAAAAAACAATATAATAAAAACATAAAAAATAAACTAAAATAAATCTCAAAATACTTAAAGAAATTAAAAACAATAAAATCTCTAAATTTGATTAAAAAAGAAGAATAAGAATATAAAACAAGTTTTTAAAAATTATGGAATACATATATACATATCTACATTTTTTTCTATTTAAAGTAATAAAAAAACTTAAATCAAAAAAGGAAAAATTAATAAATAAAAAAGAACAAAAAAAAAAATCAGCAGCACGGGGACCCGACCACGGATCTCTCGAATGGCATGGCAGGGTTTTGCTCACTCGGCCATTGCGATTGCTGCGACAGAATAAAAAAATCTTTCCAACTATCTTGGCTACTGTCTTTTAGTTGTCTTACAAAAGACTATCAACTATCTTGGTCAAAATTGCCCGGTTGGAGTAGAATTTTATCACAAATATTTTTATGGTACATTTTAACCTGTTATTGCCCTGTTTTTTGAGTATTTTTTCCCCTGTTTCACAAAACAAAAAAAGGCTCCTCTTAAGTCAGAAGGTTTTTTATGCGGATTTACCAAAGGAACTTGCAAAAGGGTGGCAACTTTGACCCTCTGTAGAATAAAACTCAGACAAAAACTCTCAAAACGCCGTTATGCTTCCTTTTTTTTTTAAATATTCTTGTTTCGGAAAAAATTAGATTTTGTTATACAGTGTAATAAGTTGCTTTCTAGGTAACGAGGGAAAAGTTTTTTCTCGGCTTCGACTTCTTTCTAAACTTACCATATTGACTTCAGAAATGGCATCAAAGCTCGCAATGGTAAGATCCATACCCACATGCAATGGCTCGCCTGCAATTTCATTAATAGTTTATAGATAGATAAATAAATTTTATGTATTTTGAAAAGATTACCTCCAAAATTCGGACGCAGTCGTATATCATAACCTTGTAGGATTTTTGAGATAGTTTGTGTAACATTCTCCAGGCGACCAGCAGCCATTTCTTTTCGCTTGCATCTGCAATGGAAATGTGCAAAATAAACTTTTTTTTTTAAGAGTATGTATGTATAAGAGCGAAGTTGAATGGGAGTGTAACTACGAGTATGCTGGGGTGCATAGCGAGTAGGATTAGAGGAAGGCGATTTTGTTGAATTAAGCAGGCAGCGGAATTATGAATTTGTAAAATATTCTTGGCTTGACACTTGACTGCTCAACAGTCTGATAACTTAGTTATTCAGTGCGGCGACTAAGCGCATTACATAAGTCAAGGTTATCAACGACGGTATAGGGCGATTACTAAACTAGTATACTATCACACATCGAACAACTTTGCCAGCTTAGACTGTCCTGAGTTTGTGAATGTGTAAATTGTCAGTAAAGTTGGGCGTTCAAAAGTTTCCAACTGTATTCAGCGAATGTGTGGTGGGTGTGTACGAGTTTCTGTTGATGTGGCACATACCTCGCGCTGGGAATGTGCACCAATGTGAGTATGACTAAAAGTAGCAGCGTGCAATAGCCCGTTCGCCGAGTGCTTATCACGCCACTCCCACTCAGGCTAGTTCTTCTGCTGCTGCTGCTGCTGCACTCTTGCGATTTTCTTCTGCCTCTACTACTGTTGCTTCCATTCGTTTTACACATTATCGTGTTTTTGTTGTTGTACTTCGTTGTGTGATTGCTGAGTTGGCGGTCATACGTGATATCCCGATGTTGGTCGTGGTGGTGATGAGCGATATTTAGTTGTGTGGTTTAGTTGGTGTGGCGAGTGTGTGGGTGTTTTTTTTTTGCCTATATTGCGTATGTCATGGGAATAGTGCGTTAAAGTTGTGTTCTTGCATTTTTTGCTTTCGAAAGTTGAACTTCGCACTGCTTTTGATATTCTAGTTGATTATTTCGTTGCTGCTTCAATGTTGAGCCTGGGGAATAAGAGAAGAATATTTAAATTTTTTTTGGGTGTAATAAGTTTTTAAGTGGTTAAAAATTTATTTATACGTAAGATGAACGATTTCTACCAAAAATGTCGTATTTTCATTGCCCCTTTCCTTTCTCTTTTCGGGTTCGATTCTAACACAAAGGCAAACGATGGGAAAATTTGCACCATGGAAGGTCAACATTTTTTTGGAATAAAAGAAATCACCATAAATCAGAATACGAAAATTTAAACCATAACTTTTTAATTAATATTGAGGAGAAAATTTGCTGTTAAAATATTTATGAAAACAATATTTTGGCAGATTAGGTTAATAATTTTATTTCAGTAAAATTGTGGTAGAGTTTTTAAACTATGTGGTAGTTGTGGTAGAAGCAAAAAACTACCCAAATATAGTAGATCAAGCACAATTGTGGTAAAGTGGCAATACTGCATACCAGCATGAAATATTTTTGGATTTTAAAAAATGTATAGAGACTGTTGGTGTCGCGGTTAGAAGTAGCGATTTTCAGACTCGCAATACATAGCCAGTAGTGGATTTTAAATTTAAAATGCAAAAAAATCGAAAAATGAAAACGAATTAAATACATACTGCACTAGGTCTCCCATTTAATTATGTAAACAGCATTGTGAGGAAATGTGAGGTACTTGAGTTATTCCTATAGTTCTGATTCTTTCATAATTTTTTTTTATTGACAATAACTTTTTAATTGAAGAGTTTATGACAAAATATTCATGTAGAAAAACATAACGTAATTAAGTTCGGAATAAAAAAAACATATATCATTCTTTTTTTTAAAGTAATTTTTTTGACGTCCCTTAGTCCGTTACCGGCGAAATTGCAGCCCACTGTGCGCCTGCTTGTAGCTTAGCTACTAGTGACCAGACGCTACTAATTTCAGTAAGACCTTATACCACATAGGTTGAACTGGCCTCACAAAACCTCAATAATTTTTTTCCATGACCCGAAGATCAACACGAACGAGTATTCAAGAGTCGGAATTCAATATACTCGTACAGCTGTAACTGAAAATATATATAGGTGCCCTACTATACGCCATTGCATAGATCGACTAGTTCATTTATTGGTATAATTATGGATAGCAACGAAACCTCATTTGGGTTGCCGAAGTACGAAGCCACTGAGAGCATTATATGTATTACGAATAGTAACTATACTTAAGTTTGAGGTACCAGCAGCCAAGATTTCAGTGTAAATAAGCCGTAGAAACAGTTGAAAATACATTTTTCTCAATCTAAATTTCCTAGGCAAGAACATCCTTTTTCACTAAAGAAATATTATTTTCTCATGCTAACTGAATAGTATGACAATTTCTTCGATGCCAAGCAAGCTACCAATTTTTTCACAACAATTTTTTTTCCCGCTTAAAAATTGTTCTAAAAATTGGAAATAATGCAACGCCATTCAAAAAAATATTAAAAAGGACAAACTGCTGAACCACCCAAGTGCTTTTCCATTTACAAATAGCAAATATGAAATATAAATTGCCTGCCAGACTCTGCATTGCTGCCTGCCTTTCGCCGTATCGAAATTCGGCAATGCCTAGGTACATTGCGGAAGGTAAATATAGGCTACTAATATATACACGGCAGCTGCTCCTGAGTGGTCAGAACCACCATTACACAGGACCTGGGTTTAATGTCTGATCTGAGCAACAGCTAAATTTAAAAAAAAATTGGAAGCTCGGCCAAACGTTTAGCAAAAGTGTAAGCGCCAAAATATTATTATTATTATTATCTACTTATCTATCCATTTCCATTTCCATTTTCTCCCAAATCCAATGGAATTTCCTTTACGAGAAAAAATACTTTCACATAACTTTTTAAACGAAAAAAAAAATACAATAATTGCAACGTTTTATTGAAATTGCCTGCTCATCATTATGCACCTTGTCGGCCAATGCTAAGCACAATGCCAACAATACTCATACGCCATGGTGCTACGTCTTCGCCACAAAACGATCTTAGTTCACGTTTTCTTTTTCTCTCTCGCTGCTATCCATTTTTGGTTTCGAAACTGTATTCTACATCTTATTTCTATTATTTTGTTGTGCATTTAGTATTGTATGAGTACCTTTCATCGTTATGCATATTATTTCCATAGGTTTTTTTTTTGTCGCTGCTGAACAAAAGTTTATTCAACTTGTTCACTTAATGCACACTCATGCTGCATAAAAGACACTATAGAAAACGGTAACGGTAACAAAACGCAATAATAACAAGTAGGACACATAATAGTAAAAGAAGAAGGTTGTCAGAGGGAGAGGCGGTGGCACAATAGTGGAGAACAAGAGAATGAGAGGGGTAGAAAGTGAAGTGGCAAGTGAAGGCGACGCATTGTGCCACTTACAAATGCACTTGTATTTCGTTTTGTTGTTGTCGCTGTTGTTGTTTTTTTTTCTTTTTTTTTGTTGCTGGCTTTCCACAATTTCAATTAGGAAGAACCTTCAGTAAAGTGCATAATTGCGTTAAATACTAACACCCCGCATTCCGCAGCTGCCACCAGCCGCCCCCCAACATACATACATATATACGTAACGCAGTCGTGGCGCTTTTTGCTACATTTTTGTAATATTTTTTGTTGCAAGTTTGTCATCTTCAAGTTTGTAACCGTGATACATAGTACTCGTACATACGCGCGCACACTCATACAAATTTAGTCCTTCCAATTGTTGGCGTGATGTTTTTTGTTGCTGCTTGCCAGCTGCTGTCAAGTGCACAAGCGTGCGCTTACGCAACTACAAGTGGCTAAACACGAGCTGTGCTGGCTGTCGCTTGCAGGCTTTCGAGCTTGTCGCGCTAGTCGTTGTTGGTTGGAAACAAAAGACGCACGCTTCCGGTGTGCGTGTTATTATCACGGCGTCGATAGTTATTGCCGCTAGCTGTTGGCGTGTTGTGTTCCTTTCTCCTTCTTCTCCTTTGATCTTTACACTATTGTGCAAAGCGGAAAATGTGTTTATTTTAGTTTACTGTAGTTCTGTCGGTTTTGTTGTTTTGTGTAGTTGTATATGTACATTTTGCTTAATCGCATTTAATTCCTTGCTTATCTTTGTCTCTGTGGAATTGGTAAACTGCCAAATTGAGGGATTAGGCAACTTTAGGCAGCGATGTGCTTTAGGATTATGTACACAGAGCAAAACTAAAGTCGTGATACTTTTAAAAAGAAGAATATGAACCCACTCGCGCAACTTTACTCATTTTAAAAAGATTCTTCTTCTAAATCGGCTCAATGGCATAGGATTTTTTCTTAAAGAAAGTTGACTCGGTGAGAAAATTTTTCAGTTATACAAAATCTGTTTCGCCATCTAATCCCCTTCTAAGAAGTAAGGGAAAATATGTTTGTAATGCCGCAAAAGTTTGTGACTCGAAACGTGATGAGTTAGCAATGCCAAAAATTGCCTGCAGACCCTTCTACTCAATGGAAGTAAATATCCAGCAAGACGCTTTGAGATTGAGGGGCGATATGAGTTTCGTCCACCTGCCATGATGTCTCTCAGTGATTTCTGAGTGGGAATGCTATAACTTGCTTGCCGACCAACTTGGCACTCAGAATAAAACAACTTCGACGTGTTTTTTAACTTAATTTAACACAGATTTGCCTTCCTAAACTTAGTTGGAAAGTATTTAGAGGGCTGGTTAATGCCTTGAGTACAGCTTGGCTGTCAGTAGAGACACGAAAACTCCTACCTCTCCAACTATTTTCTACCAAGTGGTCCATGATCTTGAAGATTGCTTCGACTATCTTCAAGAAAAGTCTCAAGCAACTGATAACACTGTAGTGACGTTAAAATGAACAAAAAAAAAAAAACGGCGAGACACGTAAACTTAATTTTGGATCGTAGATTACAGCTCTGGATACCTCATTTCTATATCAGGTAATTTTCGCTAAATATTTTTCGTTTTAAGTATGCATTGCGAATGAAAAAAATTCAAAGTTTAACATGGAAAATGTTACTCATACGCCATATACGACTATGCATGTCTACAGCAGGGATGGGCGTTTTTGAATGAATTTTTATTCAAATAAAAAATAAAATTTTATTCATAATTTTTATAATTTTGAATGACGAATGAATTTTTATTCTTTATTCAAGCACTTTAGAATAATGAATAAATTTTTATTCTTTATTCAAACATTTTCGAATGATGAATAAATTTTTATTCTTTATTCAAACACTTTCGAATGATGAATAAATTTTTATTCTTTATTCAAGCACTTTCGAATAATGAATAAATTTTTATTCTTCATTCAAGTAATTTCGAATAATGAATAAATTTTTATTCTTCATTCAAGTAATTTCGAATAATGAATAAATTTTTATTCTTCATTCAAGTAATTTCGAATGAAGAATAATTTTTTATTCATGATTCAAGTAATACTGAATAACGCATAATTTTTCATTTATTCTTTCTTTCTTGATCACAGTACCAGGTAGACGATTAGAAAATATAATATTAAAATCTACATGTGTATGCATATAAGCATGAATTTGTTTAATTATCTGTATATGTACATATATAATACGTGAAGGGATTTTTTGTCCAGGTCACCAGATCTGCACTGTTCATCCGATTTTAAAAAATGAGGTGTCGAATGAAAGGGCTCGCGCTGTAGAAGTGCTATAAGATTTTACTTTTTCGAAAAGAGTTGCCCCGTTTAAAAAATTGATTTAAAAGTTTTAAACATAAATAAATAATTTAGTACAATATGGGTATCAAGCTAAATGGTTTTGAAAAGGTTTTTATATTTTTATTACATACAAGGGGGTTGCCACCTATTCATAAAAAAAATTAAATTCAATTTCAATTATGGAAATTAGATAAGTGAAATATGCATCACAGTATAGGTGTCGGGCGAGAGAGGTTTTAGTTTGGAAATATTTTAATGAGGGTTGTCACCTAATTTAACAATCGAAAGTAATTAAATTATGCAGAAGTTACTAAGGTATGTGAAATAATAAAACA